GTCTTCTCCCCCCGATAGCGTTTCGTGACAGTGAGAGAGCCAGAAACGCTCTTTGAGCTTCTCGTCACACGGCGTTGGCGTGATGGCGGGAAGAGCTTTAATAACTTCTTTATTGAAGGCTGAAAGAGAGGCTGTTGACAATTGTGCTTGAACAATATATCTTTTTCGTCGCATATACCTCAAATAAAGTGCCCGTTACGGGTGCCCTCTTGAGAAGCTAAGGGGGTGTGATCTCCTTTGCCTTTTACGGAGGTTATATCAGAGGTACCGTCCATTGAACCTTCTCACGATAAAGAGCGTATACGGTTTATGGGAATCTTTCCTGTCGAAGCAACACAGTTTATCATGATGTGAAAGATTTGGGGTGCTTACCATTTGTTGGATACAATCAGTAGTTGAGATAGCCTTTGGATAACACTAACGAGCTGGGTTTTTTCCAACACAGAAAAACCAAAGGCTATTTGGAAAAGAAATAGTGTTTCGTTTCCAGAATGATTACGAATTGAACTGTCTGCTTCGTGCCACTTGGCACATAGGGCCGGAACATCTTCTCTCCACCTCAATATAAGTTCCTGGCTCTGTGTTCTTGGTCCTTTCTCTTGTTACAGTCCTCCGCCAGAATGATTACGGTGTTGGTTAATTTCGGGAGACCTTGGAGTTTTAGAATGTGTCACAGGGGAAGATAGGGTCGATTTTTCATTATTACAGGAAAACATGACACTCCTTTTCGCTTGTTTGCTTTGTAACATGATAACCATGACCGTACATTTCAAGCTCTATTTTCGTAGGAAGCTGAGAAACAGTTGAAATGGTGCACTGTACCACATCTGTCGCGGCAACTAAACTTGTTGGTAGATACTTTGCCACTGCGTTCACATCATAACTTAGCACGGAAAGGAATATCTTTGCAATTTTCCACACTAGGTTGTCCTCAATGTCGTTCAGCCAGTCACTTAAGTTATCAAAACTTTCAATATGTAACACATGTTTATTCTCTTTTGTTTTCGTGACAATCATATCTGAACAATTTGCCCAGCTACAGAACATGTTTACGTTACCAGTTTTGAACTTTACTACGATTACATGTCATGGCCACTCTGTAAATAGTTCACCCCTTAAAAAAACGATTCACGAACGAAGCCAAAAAAAAATGTAAGAGACAAATTTATGAGATTTCTGGTGCAATAAGTTTGACGATAGACAGCCTTGGAACCAACCTTGCTTAGAACCATAAGGATGGGAAAAGAAAACACAGTTAAATCAGTTGATCAGTCGAACGTTCTCGATTGTAGGAAAAAAGATCTTACAGATTGGGCGCGCCCATCTTGGGCGTGCAAATACCCCGCATCCAAGCCGAGTCTCGCATACCACTTCTTTTCTCGAATCCCGACCTAGAAATCTAAGCAGTTGACCTTATGTTTTTTTTTATCAGTTGTGAGGTTAATCTCCCCTAATCATTAAAGATCTTCCCCATGATCAAGCCGATACCTAACTGACTCTGTGAGCTTGTTTGCACGAACTCGATGGTTTTCCGGCGTCTAATTTGCATGATTTTTTAGCCAACGAAACCTAAGGTGGAAAAGCAGAGTCAACATTACACATCTCCTCTTGTTCCCTCAAATTATACATCTAAAAAAAGTAATTCAATTGTTTAACGTTGAGCACATTATCTCTCGTTCTATCACTTTGCCTTTGTATACCAAGAAACCAGCTTTCACAGATGCTTCAGTTTTCTCTACATTTGAAATGTAAGGGAATGAAATTTAACAAAATGAAACTCGAACGGAGAGCACTGGCTGTGTAAGGCGGGGTACGAAGTTATGAAATTAAAAAAAAAAGAAAATAGGGAATCAATTAAAAATTATTTCTGTTTTTCATCATTGCTCGTCTTACATATTTCAAGCTTTCACCGGATGACTGACTATCTTTTGTTTATCGCGATAGATACTCAGACAGCTGTAGCAGATTGTTTAGTTATTCCTTTACCTCTTATCGGGCTGATCGCTGGCAGATCGATGTTTTTCACTTTTATTTGGTAATACTGAGTACTTTCCTATGAAGTTAGGTTATTCGTTTACTCAGTTTTACGTCAAACGCTTTAAAACCTTACTATTAGCGTCTTTAGGTTTTTATATTTAGAAACAAGAAGCAATTTTGTTATCAAAGTCAATCCAGTAAGCGCTGGATGTTTTGAAAAAATACGCGTTTTTGTTTACCAGTTAGCAGGTTAATAACCTAACTATTACCTAAGACCTGTTAGAAGCCTCTCTTCGCCCTTACAATTTATACGATTCCTAATATGTATGCTTCCTGAGAACTTAACGCTTAAGGCAACTCAAAAACCCTGTTGTTATTCAAATTGTTAAAATTGTAATCTGGAAACTTTGCGTCTGATAGAAAACACACGAACTCGGCATGTGGTCAGCAAGTACTTAATACTACAAGCTTTGTTTCAATACAATTAAACAAACTTCGTGTACTAATACATGGTTCTACCGAAGGAGTGTCGAAAAATACCCTGATTTTGAAATATGTCATATTTAAAACAAGTCAAGGCCACTGAAGAGTTGAATTGGGAATTCTTGATAGGTTATCGAAATTCAAACTTCAGATTTTAAACATGTCAAGATTGAAGATTGAAGAACAGCTGTTCGAAACGATGCATGCGACGTTACCATTGGTTTCCGAATTACCTCGAAATTAATTGACGCTCATTCCCGACCAATCAAGCCCAACAATAGACTGGGTGTTTTTCCCAGAGCCGACGAGCAGCGCTTTTGAGAAATTGACAATATCAAATGTAAACTCGCACAAGACGCTTTGACTGGAATATTCATTGTTTACAAAGGCTGAAATTATCATTACAGTGGCAAGATTACTGGCAAAGAATTAAGCTTCCCTTACGAGCACGCAGTGACCAACAGCGAATCGCCTTATCGCCAAATCTGCTTCTTTACAACATAATGAAACTGTTTACTACCACGCGCTGGATCGGTTTCATCTGCCAGTGCTGTGTCATTCGCTGAAATGCTCGTGATTCAATTGGAAGAGACGGATTCCATAGCCGGGTTTACAACGAAGAACAGATCTCTGCGGCAATCGTCAGCGATTTATTATTAAGTTTTCATGAAGATCACTTTTTAGTCGAGCTTGTGGCTGGAATAATATTTTTCGCTCACGGGGTAAATCTCGTTGTCTGGCGAAAATATGCGACGAACACGGTTGTTACCACGTGCAAGTTCCCTGTCAAACTGGTATGTACTGATAGCGTTTATTTACTCTTCGTGCTTCGTTCAGAATGTAGCAACATTTAAAACTGTTGAAGTATACGAAGGTTTGCCGCCCGGCAGTTCTATTTTGAACTTGAAACAAAAACCGGGCATTATTTACTCGCTTCACCGGGACTCATCCACCGCGGACAGTTCAAGTTTGTTTTACATAGACTCGAATGGAGTTCTTACATCAAAAGTAACTTTAGATCACGAAGATGAGAGAGGGAATGTATTCGATTTACTGGTAATTTCGCGGGAAATCTCGAGAACAGAGGGTGGATTTGGAAGCATCGTGCGTGTTCGAATTCTCGATCGCAACGATAACCCACCGAAGTTTCCCAAGGATTTGTACACTTGTTCTGTGGCTGAAAATAGCCGTACTGGAACTTACGTTCAGGGACTCGAGAGCGTTTTTGCTAATGACTTGGATCGTGGAAAAAACTCTGTACACAAGTACAGCATTGTGGCTGGAAACGAGGCGGGAAAGTTCGATGTCGATTTCCACGAGCTTGCTGGTGTGAAATTTTTACGCCTCAAAACTAAGGCGCCTATTGACAGAGAGGAAACGCCGTTTTTTGTGCTGACAGTCCAGGTCGAAGACGGAGGAAATGTTTCACTTTCAAGCACTACCCAAGTACGAGTCAACATACTTGACGAAAATGATCAGACCCCGAAATTTGAACCACCCGATTATTCCGTGGCTGTCAGTGAGAACGTACCCGTGGGAACTTCTGTTCTGCAAGTGAAAGCTTCTGATGGCGACACCGGCACAAACGCTGAAATTTATTATTACTTCAAACCTGAACACGATTTTTTCACCGTGGATGCTCACACAGGCATTGTTGAGACAGCTTGTGAATTAAATTTCGAGAAGGGGAATTCCTTTGATCTAACAGTGTATGCGGTGGATCGGGGCAAAACTGCTCGACAAGCGAAAACTCTTTTGCGAGTACGCTTGGTGGATATAACAGCTTTCCCTCCTTCGCCTGGAGCTGTTTCTTCCAAATTGGCGCCACCTGTCTTCCACAAACACACGTATTTCGTAAGAATCAGGGAAGATTTTCCGGTTGGAGGTGCAATTGTTCGGGTGAATGCACACCAGGGAGGCCTTCCACAAACGTTTGATAGAACGTGGCGATATATTATTCTCAACAACGCTGCAATTAGCGGATCAGTTTTCTACATTAACCCTCGGAGCGGAGTTATTTCACTTCGAGAACCCCTAGATTATGAGAACAAAACTTCCTTTGAGCTTACAGTGAAAGCCGAAGATGAACAATCTAAAGACTTGTACGATTCACATGCGCGGGTGGTGATGGTAATCCAAGATGTAAGTGAGAATTATTTCGCGCCAATTTTCTCTGTTTCGACCTCGGTGGTGTTCATTTCGGAGAATGCACAACAAAATTCCCTCGTTTCAAGAGTTTCAGCTACTGATGCTGATGAAGGTATCAATGGAAAAGTTACTTTTACAATCACTGGAGGTTCAGGACTGGGAAAATTTACTATTGACCAGAACACAGGGAAAGTGCAATCGCTCGTTCGGTTCAACAGTGAAATGGATTCCCAGTTTGATCTGCACGTGCGGGCGAGCGACCGTTCAAAACAACCGCTATTTTCGAATTCATACTTATTAATTAAACTTCGAAATGGTGGACAGAAAAGGCCGTTCTTTTACAACCCACAGCAGCTTGTCCATGTTCGAGAAAACAGTGAAAAGGGGACTTTTGTGGCTCTGGTCCGCGCCAAAGTACGATCTCGAAGATCGAACATCGACAAAGTTACGCAGTATTTTATTTCAAGCGGAAATGAAGCCGAACAGTTTTCGTTGAATTCCACTTCAGGTAGGAGTGTTATTGTTTAAATTAAGCCTCGGTGTGATATTATAAGTAAACAAAGTCTGGAGAATGTTTGAACTTTTGAAACATGCAAGCTTTAACTATTTCTCCCTCTTGGGCTTCACGACTAAGCCAGAACTCGTACTTGACTGTCCGAGATGGATAAAAAAATACAGCTTATAGTAAGCTTCTTAAATGAATCTTGTCAACCGTAAATGATATTTTCATACATAATTCACACATCAGAAAGCAAAATTTGCGCCCCTTCATCACCTGCACCAACTTAATTGAGAAAAAGATATTAATCATTCAAACCTGACATTTTTTTCACTAAATCGCCGCAAGAAGGCAAATGGATTTCATTATATTCAGTTCTTGAATGGTGCAGTACAGTACTCATTATATATCGTCTGCTCCATTTTACGTGTACGCAGAGCGATCGATCACTTCTTTCTCTGCATGAAAGCACAATAAACCGGCAAGTAAAATATTTTATTTAAAAACAATAGCGTGCTTCAATTTGCAAGATGTTGAGTGTCTAGATAAACATTTTATTTCGAAAATCGTTGGTTGACAGGTGGAAAAAATGCACAAATATAATACTTTAGATCGAAACAATTTTTGCATGTTTTCGAAAGTTATTGGTGGGCAAGGAACGTTTTAAAATGTAAACACAGCCCGCTTGCGAATACAAATATGCGATTCAGCTAAACCCTAAATTGAAACATAAAATGTAAAGCCTTTTTGTTGGATTTTTACGATCTGACTCGAATTAAAAAGCTATTAAATTTTAATTAAACATTCTCTCAAACTGGGTCATTACTCATAACCTTGGCTGAAATATTGTGGGGAATAAATAACATTCAGACGATTTGCAACAAATTTGGATCCTTTCTTTTGGAAATTGACAAAATATTGCAATAATCATTATTCATGTTAATTTTGGTGGGTTTTCAAAAGGCTTGATTACCAAAAGAAACCTTTTTTTCATTTCGTTTTCATTATGGTCTTTGAGACATTATTAAATTATGGAGATATCTAAGATAGCTGCAGACAGCCCTTGGCTATTGGCTGATTTATTAGTCTGTCTTGTTTTATAAATAATGTGCATTATCATGATTTGGAAAAACCTTTAAGGCTGTTAGTATTATCTTTTCCTTTATTTGCAATATTTATTCTGTTGATAACAACTGGCCATAGAAGAGTTGACTCAATGAAGATACTCTTCCCTGCCCAGAAATGGAACCACAAGCTGAAAAACAATTATTCCTGCCAGTAAAATTATTGTTATTGCAAAAAGCAAAGACATGCAAGATTATTTAAATGAACATTAGTAGGCATAAATTTTAAAAAAAATTTCGATGAGAAAAAACCTTCATGTAAATTATTTATGTCAATACGGATATTTAACACTGATAAAAAACTTGTCATTTTGTCATACATATGAATAGAATTTCTGAAATGTCTAGCAATATTTCCAGAAAAAGGGTTGCATTGACAAAAAAATATCAGATCTCTGGGAATGATGATGTATCACTGCCTACCAAATTCTTTCTCTCTATCTTATAATTTTTAGAGCCCTTGTTTTTTCTTTCATAAACTTGGGAAAATTAAATGTTTTGCCTGCATGAAATTAATAACGCATCTTTTAAGATGACTTATTTGAAGAGGGAGGAGATAGTAATACTGTTTTTATTTCCTGGAAGTATTTCAATCTGGCTAACTTGACATATTTCAATGAATTTTTATTAGACATAATCAAATAAAAGACACAATATAAAACACTACATACTGTGTACAGGTGTTCCATGATGTGTGAAGTGTGATTCATGTAAGTAATATTTATTAGTGTATCTCAGACACAAAGGAAAAATTTTTATTTCCAAGGATTGTTTCATTAGACTGAGTAGGTTTTTTAGCAGACACTGCACCAGATGGGGTGAGGCCTTCTCAGGTTACTTCATAGCATTTTTGTCTTCATGCAACTCTCCAGTTTGCCAACACCTTAGTATTTTTCCCTTGTCAGAAGAGGAACTATGAGGAAAGTCTAACCAAAGACCACAAATTAATCACCCTAGCTAGGCTTGAATCAGGGTGTCTTGACTAGGAGGCTGAAGATCTGTTATACACTTTTAACCATTTCTTCTTTAAGTTAGTTTTGTTTACTGTGAACATTTTGCAAGACAAGTTCAATTTTGATATCACTTTAACCCATTGACTCCTGTGCCGGCCGTAGCTGGCCGTAACTGGCCGTGATGAGCCTTGGCCCTTCTTCCACTTCTGACGTCATCACCTTTGACCAAAATTGGCATCATCTATTCTCAACTTCTGCTGGAGGAAAAGATCTTTCCAATGATACCCAGATCAGAGTGATCAGCCCAGTGGAGCCTGAGACATGCACAAAAATGCTCAAAAAGTTGCCTGAAAAACTCAGAACAAAAGTTCCTGCTACTACACATGGCTACTCTATGGCAAAAATTGCCTGTCTTGATGATGCTTTCTCAGAACGTTTTAAACTGGACGCAAGCCCAGTAGAAGGTCAATCACTGCAGCAAAAAGGAAAGAAAAGGAGAAAAAGGAAAGGCGAAAAAAAAAAATTGAAAGGCCTAAAAATTTTGATTTCTGCGCGTGCCTGAGCAAAAATGTCGTAAAACACGATGCTAGTGGAAAGAAAGGCATGCTGTCATGTTGCAAATGCCTTTGCGAGTAGATTGGAGCTAATTTGGCCCATATCCAGCCTGAAAATCTCCAAAATGTCCAAAAATGCATTTTTTGGCAAAAAGATCCAGGAGTCAATGGGTTAATCTGCATTTCGTATTTAGTCAGGTGTTCTTGCTGCATAATTTCGTCAAAATTTAATAACTATAGAAGTGCTGTAGAACCTCGCTTCTTGGACACCTGCTGTTTCTGTCTCTAAATCTTTGTTGTCACTGTAATTAAAAGTATATATCTAGAAAAAATTTAACTTTTATGAAGAAGGTACAGAAGTAATGAGAAAAGGTCCAGCCATCTGTTGATGTTATTACCAGCAGGGGCAGATTTAGGGGGTGGGTGGATTGGGCGGCTAGCCACCTCCCTCTTGGTGAAGCAAAAATTGAAAAAAATAAAAAAAACTGAAAATGATTGTGATTATTTTGGCAGAAATAAAGGCAAAAACTCTGGACAGATACCTCATCCTAATTTCTAGTTTGTGGCATTGGTGTTATTTCTGGAGTATCAGTTTTAAATTAGGTGTAAATTCTGACAACTTGCAACACTTTGGGAACACGCTACATTGATTCTGCAACCCCAAAGTGCTAACCAACCCCCCTTGGAAAATCATGGATCTGCCCTTGACCAGCACTGTTTATAATATTAAAAATGATGTACTCCTTGATATTTCTGTGGCGAATGTATTGGTATAGTGTTAGTTACTGGAGTTTCAAACAGTCTTGCATTGTTGTGTACCTTAAACAAGTCTTGCACTGGGTTATAAGGTTGTTCAATTTGCTTCTTGTTTCCTTTTTCCTTTTCCAACAGGGATCATTTCAACTACAGGGTCTCTTGATCGTGAAAGTAAAGATCGTTACATCCTTGATGTTTATGCCCAGGTTAAGGGAGCTCCATCATCAACAAGTTCACCATTTCAAGTTGTTGTCATGGTTTCTGATGAAAATGATAATAGTCCATCTTTTGAAAAGCAGGAATACAAAGTGAGTCATGAGAGTTAATGAACTGTTTCGAAAATATCATATCCCCATGGCAGGTTCTTTAGTTTGACACCCCACCCTCCCAAACCCTCTGAAATTTCCAGTTGAGCTTCATACTTTCTGTCAAAAGTTTTGGCATCTGTACTCCCCTCCCACTTGGAATTTCCAGTTGGAGCTGAGCAACGCACTATTTTTAGGGAAGTTCTAAGTGGAACCCAGACTTCCAATGGGTGATTCCAGAAAATATCCATACCTATACCATGGGTGGCTTTTTGGAATTCTGTGTGCAAGGGGGGCTTCTTTGAACTGCAAATCCAAAGGCATGGGGGTACTTATGATTGGAATTCCGAGGGCATGGGGGACAGACAAGAGTGTGAATGCACGATCGAAGTAACAACACTGCTGACGACTGCAGAAAACAAGATACAAGGCAAGTATCAATTGATCATGCATGTGTTCGTGGTCATTTTCAGACGGAAACTGATAAAATCTGGGTTGTACATGGGGTTCCAGAGGCCTTGAAGATGATGAATTTCTTGTCAGATTAATCATTTGAGACTAAAGTCCATGCTTGCTTACTATGCACCAAAGGTATATATATTCATAAGGAAACCGCTGTAGTGGCATCTGATTGAGTGAATATTGTTGGCAATATGGAAGATAAATTAGGCAGGATTTGCCCATGCATGTTTGTATTTCCATAGTAATTAGCATACAAAACAATTGAAATTTTGCACTAGTTTAGTTGAAAACTAGTTGCAAAATTATGACTGAAGAGGGGGAAGTTTTAGTGTCCGAACATTTAGTCATGAATGCATGAGATCGTATCGGGTACAATTTCGAGCCCTGTAGACAGTTGTTTGACTGGCAGTTATGAGCAAAAACCTTCCACAAGAGGAAATTATATGTCTTTCAAAGTCAATAAAATCTCACTTGAATCCCACAGGTGTCTGTCACTGAGAATATTGGTCCCATATCAAACTTGCTTTGCCTAGCCGCTCATGACCCTGATTCTGGCCAGAATGGAAACCTCACATATTCTATAATCTCTGGCGATGACCCATTCTCCATCGACCCAGTACTTGGAGTGTTAACAGTCGACAAATCTTTAGACTATGAGAAGCAGTCATTGCACAGACTTGTTATACAGGCTGCTGATCATGGCGTACCCAGTCGAAAAGCAACAACGAAGGTTAACATTATTGTGCAGGATGCTAATGATGTGCCTGTATTTTCTCAGAGTCACTATGAAGGTATGTGGTTAGTTAGAACTTGCTGACCGTACAGCTACCTAATCGCCAATGTTTGAATCCATGCATTGGTACTTATAACATTAATGACATGCTAAGACAGTAGACTACCATACTATTGTGTGGTTCTAGAATCATCATAGCCACCCCAGTGAGGAGAATTGGAAATTCCAATGGACACCATTGGGNGGGGGGGGGTCGTCAGGAACAAAAGCTTTAAAGGAATGTTTGAACCAAAACTGGAATTTCCAGAGGGATTGCGAGAAGGGGAGTGGGGTGGAAACCAAAAACCTTCTGCGGGAGGGAAATGGCTGTTTTGTAAACATGAGTATAGTCCAAAATTGTACTTAACACATATGTCTACATGTTATGTTGGAAATAATTAAATAAAGACAAATTAAATAATTTTTCCAGTAGCCGCCTACAAGCACAGTGTCATTAAAATGAATTCAGTTTTGGTGAGAGGTTGTCTCATCCAACACCGTCACTTTTAAGTCAATCTGTGGGGTACTACATGTTACTTCTAGGGCAAATATTATCTTAAAATGTCTTGTTCATGGCTAAAATAACATCCTTGTCCCTCCCTCCCTTCTTCTGGTTGTATCCTCTGCCCCACGTGCAGGGGTTTTGTTGACGATTTGATCAGAGAGTAACTGGATTTCTCAGGCGGGTAAAACTGAGCTTCTTTATAAGACAAGTGTTCCTCTAGGTGATCAAACCAGGCAGGCAGAATCATCCTCACAGCCGGTCAATTTGCATGGTGCCCAGCCCTTAATGAAACCCCCGCACACTTCACCAGGAACTTAGTAAATAACTTAGTAAGGCAGCTTTTTAGTGCCCTAACATGGTAACCTTACCATCAGCAAACAGGACAATCATCAATTTTGTAAATAAAACGTACTGTGTTAATGCTAAATGTATTTATGATCTTGCTTGTTGTTAATCTGTTGCTAGCCGTAACATATAGTATGGAAATTAATTTTCCTAATGCATGCAATTAACTGTCTTATCTCTCACATGTCTTGACTAGCTGGTTGCACTAACTTCATCTTGTTGTGTAACTAACCAACTTAATTCCTTATGTAACGTGTTCTCTTTTTTTCTTTCTTAAACACATTTCTACTGATTCATGCTGATAACTTAACACATGATTCCTCTGCGATTCAGTAACAGTCTTGGAATCTGCCAAAATCGGAACAGATCTTCTGGCTGTGTTTCTTGTAACCGATGAGGATGCGGCTGTGAAGGGTAACATTAGCCCTATGTTTTCTGTTCTTTCTTTGGTTCTCTTCTCTCCTAAGTGTTGATTTGCTTTCAGACACGGACTCAACAAAACATATAGTTGTCTAACTGACTAGGTGATGTGCACAGACTCATACTGCTTGGACTGACATTTCTAAATCTCTCTAATTCTTGTATGAACTCGACTTTAGTAACATTTCAGGGGCGGATCCAGGATTTTTCTTAGAAAGGTGGGCACCACTAAGGAAAGGCGTAACTGACTGGTGAGGTAAACAAATTTTAAAAGTGAATGCGAAGAAGAATACTTCATCTCAGGGTGGGGGGGGGGGCATCCCCTACACCCTCCCCCTAGATCCGCCCCTGCATTTCTAAGTGTCCTAAGTTGGAGACATTAACTTGCACAGATCAAACTAATGACAACTCGAGTTGAAAGGTGAATGGTTCCCTTGACCATCTGCTTTGAGTTATGTTTGGATGAGTATAGAGTGATTACTATACTGCTTTACTAGCTGACACTTGAAGGCTTCAGCTGACGTTCGTTACACAACAACAGCTAATAAAACTTGAACGAAAGTTGCTGTGAAAGGAAACTGTTTAGCACTGGAAATCCTGAACTCAGCTTATCTTTTTCTCAGAGTTTGTGCGCCGAAAAAATCCAAACATCCTTAATATTAAAGACGCAATGAGCTACAAGCAGACTGAAGCTCTTAGGTTTTTTTTCTTCTTTTTTTCCTTGAGTGCGAATTATCATAACATATTTTGATGACTTACATGTCTCGTAGAGACACTTTTTTCAGAAGATGTGTTGCTACTCTCTTTGTGTACTGACTCACGTTCTTGTGGAACTTAAAATGACTGACTTTGATTGAAAATGTGTTTCGAGGGGCTTTCGAGTAACTCTTGAAAGTGACCTTGTTTTTGAGTGTTTTTTGGTTGTATCTTCTCCCAAACTCTTCAGGAAACGCGTGCAACACACGCTAACCAATCAGAGCGGAGATGACTTTTTGACCAATCAAAAGCAGCGATGAGTCGACACATCGACGCCGCTCGGAAGCGGTCACCTTTTTTTCCGCGCAGTTTACTGGTTTCTTTTAAGATTTCTTTGGTAATTTCCCCTGCGATGTAAGCGGACGGATCTTGCAAGATACTCCGTTGTCGTCAAGGTTACAGAAAGGTTTTGGCGACTGTACAATACTCACAGGAACACGTAATCACAGCAACTTTGACAACTTTGAATCCAACTTAAGGGAAGTACTAGGCCCGTATTGAATGACGGGTAGCGCTACACGGTACGGTACTAAACTTATTAACTTTCTTAAACTATACCACTCTCTAGTTTGTATTGTGCCGGTGGACAGGTGCTGAATTACTGGTTACTCTTTACTGTACAGTACCCAATTTAGTAGATTGCAGAAAACATACATTGGTAGTAAGTATTATGTTGAGCGGAGGTATTGAATCACGTGCAGGTAACGCTTAACTGTACGATACGCAACTAACTACCTTGGAAAACTATTCTTTGTTCGCATTCTGTCGATGGGCGGGTACTGAATTACAGGTACACTACGTGACTTGTTTAACTTAGTACCTTGGAAAACTGTATTGCTAGTTTGTATGTTCATCTTGAAATACTATATTGTTGCCGAGCATCGGGGGAGCATTGAAAATATTTGATTTGTTATTGTTCGGCCTACGTAGCGGCTACTTTTGCTATAAAAAAGTCAAAGGACCTGGGAGGGGAGAGTTGGGTCCCAGGAGGACAGATTCTTTAGCCATCCTTACACATCTAAGTCTTTTTATTGACATGCACAAAACCCTATTGCAGCCTGAGACCCTTTAAGGGTTCAGTATTCGCACCAAACAAATTGACCAATCAGGATCATTTTTGTTTCAACCGGAAACTAATTAGAGCAGACTCTGTAGCAGACTCTGTCACAGAAGAAGTGCTTCTTGGTGGGGAAGTGATCGCCATGGCAACTTTTCGCACATTAAATCGCGAGCGCGTGCATCCGCGTGGCGACTGAAAAGTTTAGGCTTGCCCGTAACGTCTTGGGTTGAATCCCACAATGGCCGGGGGTTCACCAACCTCATTAACCCCTATTTGAAAAATGTTTTCAATTGTCCACCGATGCTGAACATATCTCTCAGAAACCAACTTTCCACTGACTGTAGACATTTCTGCCATTTTTCTCCCAGTGAGTGTGCTGGAAGATGCAGACGTGGAAGGTACAGTAGCCGTGTTAGAAACTTCAGATCAAGACCGAGACAAGAATGGAAAGTTCACGTGTGACATGGAAAATATGGACCTGGATACAATGGACACGTTCACTGTCAGACGGATTCCTGAAGGATGCGCTCTTGTCCTGCTGGGATACCTAGACTGGGCTTCTGCTAATCAGTATTCCTTTTCGATTCGCGCCACAGACGACGCAGAGGCTGCCCAGCGAAAGTCTGCCGTTGCTTCCGTGACCATCAACGTTCAAGACACAAACAATCACGATCCTGAGTTTCTGCAGTCGTCTTACTGGGTGTCGTTACCCAACGACGCCAGTATGGGCGCGACTGTCTTGACAGTCAAGGCCCGCGACCTCGATCAGGGTACAAACGCTGAGATAACATACAAACTTTCAAATGATGTCTTTTCCATTCATCCGACTAAAGGCATCATAAAGCTCAAACAAGGACTGGGCTCCCTTACGAACGAGAAATATGAATTCTCAGTAAGAGCGACAGACCAGGGTACACCCAACAGACAGTCTGCTGTCAGCGTCACGGTGTCAGTTCATGCGCTGTCTTACATCCCGCCCAGATTTCTGAGGCCAGTTTATCGCAAGGTCATCCGTGAGAACTTCAAAACGGGCGTAGCACTGTTAACGGTACGCGCGCAAAAGAGCATGGGCTTAGGTAGTTCTATGGAGTACTTCATCGTGGGTGGTGATCCGCTGAACCAGTTCAGCGTGGGCACTCGCAGTGGCGTGCTCACTCTTAAAAAGCAACTGGATTACGAGCGAGTCAAACAGCATGTCTTGGTTGTGCGTGCGGTGCAGAATGGACTCTCACTTGACACGCCTTCACTTCCAACTGAGGTAGGCATAAAGACGAGACATTCCTACACTGTATTTACGTCGTTTCCATTTTAATCTGTCGTGTGTTATGTGGCTGTGGACCGGGCTTTAAACAAGCTACGTCACGGTTTGCGTATCTTCAAAAGTTGAGCCTAATTTTTTCAAGTTCGTCGTTTGTAATCCGGGTTAATCTTCTCCATCCTTTACCATCCCTGTTCCTTTATGGTTTATTATTATCTCTTTGGTGTTTATTTATCTTAGTTTCTTCTATGTTTAAGGTTCTCTTCAGTTTATAGGTGATTTTCTTCGTGGCCAAAATAACTCAAAATGCCATGACTGAATTCCTATAAGCTACGAAATAAAATAGTTATGCGATGTCTTCTCATCATTCACCTTGAATATTTCAATAGTTTAACACTAGTGACGCTCGTTCTTTCCAGAGCGTATCAAATCGATGACATCTATAACATCACTGAGCAATTAAAATCTTTCGCGGTATACCACTCGAAAGCATTGTATAACAGGTCTCTTTGATGGGGGCAAAATATGTTGTACGGCTTTTCCGATAAGCTGAACCCACTTACCTTCTTTTGTGATAATTCAAGGTATGTTATTTGAGTTTAATCTGTTGTAATTCTGTTTTGTTCTCAGGTTAAAGTGATCGTGAATGTTACGGATGTCAATGACAATCGTCCCCGGTTCGCTCTACCCGTGGACCCGCTCGTTATATCAGTGGATGAATTTGAACCCCCAGGGATTCTGGTGACTACAGTCAAAGCGTTTGATAAAGACACTGGCAACCATTCGTCTGTCACTTACACACTTAACGATAAACATTTTCACATCCACTCCTATCTGGGGATTATCACGACCAAATCTGAGTTGTATTATTCCCAGGGCAACTCGCGAACGTTCGTTGTCACGGCAACCGAATCGACCCCTCCCAGACGAAGCGCTAAAGCGAATGTGGTGGTCATGATCAACAAAGCGACCCCACCGCCGCGGTTTTCCCGCGAGGAAGTGGCTGAATATGTGCCAGAGGACATACCCGTGGGGAATTCTCCGGTTGAGTGTGCCGCCAAGAGTCGGGTCACGTTGAAATACTGGATGCCAAGTGGTAATGAAGCAGGTCATTGGTGTATAGATACCACTGGGAAGATTCGAGTGGATAAACCACTCGATCACGAGCAGCAAGATTCGTACCATCTCAAGATAAACGTAGCGGATGATCTGAGAACCCATGTCGGTCCAAGCGTCTTGCTGAAGTTAAAAGACATCAACGACAACGTACCCGCGTTCAGCTCGAGCGCTTACAAGTTCTACGTGTCGGAGAATTTACCCGAATATCACACAATAGCTGTTATGTCGGCGGTGGATGGCGACAAGGGCTCGAATGGCCGAGTAAAGTACTCAGTAGTGGGTGTGGAGGATGCACGAACAAGCGACAAATTTCACATATCAGCCAGCGGTCATCTAATGACGACTGAAGTTCTATTGGACAGGGAACTTATGGAGAAGCACGTACTTGTGGTGCGCGCGGAGGATGATGGGAAGCCATCGCTAAGCAGTGTAGCGCGTGTTACTGTCGTTGTAACAGATGTGAATGATAACAGCCCTGTGTTTGACACAGACAAATTCAGGGCCAGGGTTCCAGTTGATGCTAAAGTCGGATCCAGGATTTTTGCTGTGGTGGCGTCGGATATGGACTGGGCTGAGAATGGTCTTTTGAGGTATATTCTAGTGAAGCGTGCTGCTCCGCTTTTTGATGGGTTCCCTTTGATTAATTTGACCAATCCAGTCGAAGAATTGTCAGAGGCGGAGTTGACGCCAGGGAAAACTAACATGCCACAACCAGTAGTTCTAGACTCTGATTGGTCAAAGGAAACGGAACCCAATAAAGAGCTATCAAAATTAACAAGCATTTTTCTTGAAAGTAGGAGTTAATTTCGAAAGCACACTCAGAATTTTGAATCTTTACTGTTCGTTAGCTTTACTACATACGGTGGGAACAAAACTTGTACTCAGTGTCTTTCCCTCTTATTATTTTAAACGATTTCAGTCACATGTGCTCACGTGTATTAATGTATGGTTGGTTTATAAGAATTGCAAACTCGTCAAATGGTTTAGACATCATTTACTCATTTGTTGAACAAGCACAAGTTTGGATTTGCACGTCAAAGCGCCCTATTTCGTTTTAAAGTTATTACTCAATTATTTGTTACTCGGTTTACCAAGTCGTCACCTTGTGAAAATCGTCAACATACTTAGCTGCATGTTGTGATGTAGGTGGTGAAATACAAACTTATTTCATTCCTTTTTCTCTTGTAGCTACTCGATCATCGAAGGAAACTCGGAGAAGTTCATCAGTGTAGACTCTGTTGACGGATCTGTCATTGTAGCCCGCCCCCTGACGTCACTGAAACCAATCAAATTCAAAGTCATGGCACGTGATCTCGGGCAGCCTGTTAGAAACGCGACCGCCGACGTCATTCTTACCATTCACGCCATTGAGGGCCCCCCTCGGTTCCTTTCCTCTTCTTACGAAGCGCGCGTAACGGAAAACAAGAAAGCGGGAACGGAGGTCATTCGTGTCGAGGCGGCAAGCGTCGACCCTGTGGTCTCCTACAAAATATTACACGGAAACGGTAGAGAAGATTTTCATTTGAATGACGAGACAGGGTCGATAACCACAGCTAGACCGCTGGACTATGAAACTGTGGCACGATACGACCTCGTTGTCATGGCGATAGACAGTAGCAATAGAATGAATTACGTCAAGGTAGCTATAAAGGTTGTCAATCTCAATGATAATGAACCTTACTTTGTGGATATACAGGGCGGAGTGATCGAAGGACAGATCTTAGCTGACGCCGTTACTGACAGTCACGTGATGTTGTTGAAGGCACGTGACAGGGATGCTAGTGACGTCATCGCATACAAGATCCGCGACAGAAAGGCAGCTTCATATTTTACTGTTGACTCCGAAGGGGGCCTAAAAACTAAGAAAACTCTCACTGGACTACGGTCGCCTTTTGTTTTCAGAATTGAGGCTGTGGATAGCGGGATTCCTTCCAAGAGTGCGTTTACGTCAGTAAGGCTTGTGTTTCTTAAGTATCACATGCAACAGAGGGAACTACAAAAGGGTGTTCCTGAAGACGTCAAACAAGACGATGTAATCATCAAAGTGAAAGATGCAGCGAATATTAAAAATCCAGAGTTCTCCATCATTTCCCCGCTGGGCGCACCTTTCCGCATAAACAGTCAAAACGGAGAAATTCGCACTTCGCGTCCACTTGACTTTGAAACGACGCAGAATTATTCTCTTATAGTGCAGGTACAGAACTCGAAAGATTTGAAGGATTACACCAATATTGACGTAATGGTAAACATTGAGGACGTTAACGATAATTCACCGGCTTTTGGCATGGAAAAAAGTGACGGGCTATACGTGGCCAAAGTCAATAGGAATCCTCTCCAGGGTACGGTGGTGTATACACTAACGGCATCAGATCGAGACTCGAGAGGCCATCTGCGTTTCTCGCTGGTCAGCAGTAATGATGGAAACGCCGTGTTCGAGGTCGAGGCTGAGAGCGGCAAAGTGAAAACACTTAGCCAACAGGTGCTGATGGCAGACTCTTACAATTTGACAATACGCGTGAGTGACAGCGACACGCCCTCGCGTGACGCACGGGCTATACTGCACGTGCAAGTTGGGGAATATCCGCCTTCGTTCAGTCAGGATCAATACGTTTTCACTATCAAAGAAAACACACAGAGGGGATTTACTATTGGCCATATTAAGGCATACAGCTACTCTGGGGCGTCAGTGTCATACACTGTCGTACACGGTAAGGCGAGTGAATGAAACCAAGAGAGGTTTGAGGGTGAGAGAGTCGATCCTCCATTTTCCTCTTATTCTTAAGCTATCCGACTCAAGTTATTTTAAAATCACTCCTAGTTTATGACCCGAATTTTGTTTACATGGAGAGTCCGAGCGGCTTAACGCGCATCTTCATCCTCCACGGAAACACGCGCAGACCGCGCGAGCTTACATCCGCGGGAAAACTGGGTACCAAATCTAAAAATAACTTGAGAAGGATTACCTTAATGAGACGCACATAGGAGATTAACTCTTTTGTTCTCTCCTGATGGAACTTAGAGCCTTGTTCGCCTAGCTATCAACATTAAACACATCAACCAAAAAAAAAAAAAAAAATCAACAAACAGCGAGTTTAAAGCTCGACACACGATTCCATGTCGTACGTATACAAGAAACTGAAAACTTCTAGCACAAATGGCTAATGGATAACTGCAAAATTCAGACCTTTGTTTGACGTTCGCTGAAAACAAGAGGGAAGGGAACATGGTGCTTACCTTAATGAATGTTTGGCTGGAAGTATTAGTTTCTGCAGTGTTTTTGCAAC